ACCCTCTCTGAACCTGATCTGGACTTCCGGTAGGTGGGGCCCCAAGTCATTTCCTGGCCCCTGTGGAATTTGACGTGCTTCATGCTTTGTAGAGCAGCCCACGGAGCTAAAGGTTGATTTGGGGGCGAGCCTGAGATCTAGATAAGGACGTACTTTCTTACCTGCTCATTTTCCAGAGCGTCAGAAACACTGGACCTGATCAGATTTTCAGAATTTTATTCTTTCATGAGAAAGGTTTGGATACTTATTATAAGTCACCTTCTCTGCAGGATCTCTGGGCAATTAGGGATTGGATAATACCTTTGATATTTCTCTATTAAACTGCCAACCGAGGAGCCTCAAGTTATTTGGACCATATTCAAAGGCATGGCAAATGACTTCCCAGTTCTCTGCACTCGATTATTCTAACATCGAGCGAGACCTTTGTGAAGGGGCGATAAAGCCCCTTCACGGGTCAGCCAGGGGCTTTTGTTCATGGGGTTTTCAACTCTGCGGGAAGAGTGTTCTATTTTTTTCCCCTTATTCTCCATAAAAATTGCTTCTTATGCTTAAAAAACACAGCTTGATGTGTTGCTACGCCAAAGAAGTTAAACGGTCTATTTCAGAAGTGTTTGCTTGACTTACATTATGTCACAGATATCCACGTCAGGCGAGCATCCCTAAACCCCAGGCGCTGATTGATAATGAATAACTGGCTTTGATTTAGAAATGATTGGGGCAGTTGTCATGTGACACTGAAGGGAGAGTCATTAATCCTCTTTCTTCTTTAGCCGAAGACTACATCCTAGCCTCCGGCATTTACAGTGCACATCTCCACTGGACATGAACTGTTTGCTAACCAAGAGGGACTCTTTGTTCACACACACACTGGGTCTCAAAGGAAAGCAGACTACAAAGGCCAAGGAACCTCAGAACCGGCCAAAAAAACCCAAAACCATTTGCCACATGTCAAACACAGGCCTAGACAGAACACTCACTCCCATGCAGCATGGCTTTGTTTTTCTACACCGTCAAGTGTGCCAAGAAACAAATACAGAGCCAGGAGTCATCAAGCATGTAACATTCAAAAAAACGACAAGGAGAGAGTTTCTGGAAATCCAGCGGGGATCCATTAGCGGTCCGGTGCAGGATACCTTGATAATCACCCGCCGGCGAGTAACTCGAGTGGTGATCCTCCGTTCCTCCTCAGAGCTGGGCTCCCTCTCACTGCCCTGCAAGTCCTAGTAAAGGCATGTTTAGTACAACCTTACCATCCCACTTAGTCAAAGCATTCTGAGAAGGGAAATCGGGAGAGGATTTCTTTTACTTGGCTGTTTTCCTCTCTAAGGAAAATCATGAGGTAGTTTTGTGAGGACGCTACAATTTTAAGTGAAGAAAAAATTTGAGAATTCAAAATGAAAATACTATAGGGAAGTTATTCTAAAGGAAGACCACAGCAATGAAATGAAAAACTGTTAGTAACAATCACAGAGCTTTTTTGGCATCAGAAAGCCAAGGTATTAATCATGAAAGAAACACATTCACTGAGTGGAGTGGCTGCCCTTGGGACATCTTATCTCTGGAGTTTATAACGAAGTCGGTCAGATTTGACAACTTCATCGAAAGCTATTTTGGACATCAAAGAAAATACTTACATTATCATTAATATTTGATATCTACTTCATCTTTATTTAGCAGATATCAAGTAGTTTTTCCCCCAGCATACTTGTTGCTTGGTAACAAGTTATAGTCCAAGGCAAGAAGGCATATTATAAAATATGTAAAAGTTTGAATCATTGTTTTAAAAGAACGGACATAAAACGAGAGCAGAAAGGCCCATTTCACTGTCAAGCAGGGGTCCTCAAACTACGGCCCGCGGGCCACATGAGGCCTGCCGAGGACATTTATCTGGCCCACTGGGTGTATTTGTTCATAATTTTGTTTTTTGTTTTTTTAAACTATAGTCCAGCCCCCCAATGGGTCTGAGGCACAGTGAACTGGCCCCCGGTTTTAAAAGTTTGAGGACCCCTGGTCAAGAGAATGGCTGCACAGAATATTAAAGTAGACAGGAAGGATGGGCAAAAGGGGCAGACTACCAAGTAGCAAACAGTTCCTAATTCAACAGGAACAAAGTAATGTTTCTACTTAAATGCCATGAAGCAGATGACTCACTGAAAAACTGATTTTATTTTAATTTAATGACAGGATTCCGGAAACAATTCTGGCATATTTTACTAATTACTTGAAATCTAACACTTTGGGGGATATAGTTAGATTTCACTGGGAAAAGGAATGGCAACATTTGTAAAATGAAGAAAAATAGCATTGATAGAAGTATAGATATTGAACAAAATCATCTGGAAATTATTATAAACTGGACACACACTGTTAAATGCTATGGTAATATCAACCTCAAGTTTGATAGATAAAACACCTGGTCAAAATTCGCCATTTAATAATAGAGGGCTAAAAAATAGTTTTCAATTTTCTCACAAAGACATTCTGTTGATTGCAAAATTCTTTTTTTTTTTTTAATTTCAGAAAAGGGCAGCAACTTTGGGGTATTTTGAGTGATCCACATCTTATGAAAGGGGGCTCCGCTAAGCTCAAAAGAGCAGAAACAAGAGGAATTCATACAGACAATAGAAAAGAATTACTAGTAAGCATTCAAAGACGAATGGCTCTAATGAAGCAGTGGGTGGGGTTCGATTTGAATTTTCCCTACATGGACTCTAAAAGAAAGGTTTTCATCTGGGGAAAATTCAAAAGCCGATGACCCTAGGTTAATACAAGCACAAACAAAACACCTGGTTGTCAACCACCACATCATTCTGTAGCATAACCTGCCGTTAGTTGCTTACATAGGAAAAAGTGGCCATTTGGCCACTTTCTCATTGTACTCTGCTATCCGTACGCAGAATCCCAGCTCAAGCGGGCTTCCGTTTAGAGAATTCTCTAGGAAGCGGGAAAGGAGGAAACGAGGATCCCAAATGGGATATACTCATCACTCATGGCCCGGGTTGCTTCATGGGAAGAGGTGGAAGAGAGCAGGTGTTCACCTTGTAACAGCAGGCAGCCATCCAGGTAATAGCTGCACCTGGACTTTTGACCTGATTTTGTAGGGGACAAAAACGGGCTGTTTTCTAAGATCATACATCAGATGACCTAGCTGGGTGCTACTGTACTATGGTCTGGCCACAAAATACACTTATTAAACAGCGCCGGATCTCTTGCGAGGTCAGGCTCACATCTCCTAGAAGCTTAAACTGCATATGCGCTTTTATCGTCACGAAGCCGTCCTACACTGGAGAAAGCCCAGTGATGGCCAACACCATACCCAGTTACAAGAAATCTTAAATATGTTCTAATAGTAATCAGTTTCCATTACAAAGGACCTCAGCGGAGTTTCCATTCAGATTGAAGACCTTCATTTTCAAAGCCTTCTTATCCTGAGTGCCCCAGTGGCCAATACGAACACATGCGTACACACATGGCCTTTGTTTATATGAGGCCGGCCAAAACTGTCTTGGAAAACCGGAACTAAAATTTCAATTATATTGATAGGCCCCTCTACTTTATATTATATTCTGCTTACAGAAGTCTGTTGAATAGGGTTTTGCAGAGCAAATCATCCCAGCTAAATCCTCACCTTCTTGCTTCTCTCCATATTTTTGTGAGTTCATTTTAAAGGGGTACATTCCACTCAAATGGATATCGCTTAAGTCTACTGAGTCAATGCAAAGGCAGAAATCAATATTCAAAAGGGAAGCCAGAGAACGGTTCAAACAAACAAAAAAAGCTTAAAAGAAAGAAAATAGAAAATAATTGATATGATCAATGATTGTGGGTGGCGGTAGTCATCACAGGCCTCAAGGATACCCTGAAATAATACAGCTCATTAATAACTGCCTTCACCGAATGCACTGTCAAAGCAGCTAATGGGGGGAGATTGCTGGATGAGACTCTCCTCTCCCTTTCCTTTCTAACAAACAGGAAACAAGACCGAAAGGTAACCTGCAGAAGGAAGAAGGGAAGCACAGGACTTGTTGCTAAAGTGGATAATTAGTTCCTGAATAACGAGGAGCTGACTAGAATAAATCTCAACTTAATTAAGAATTCATTATTTTGGAAAATAATGTAGTTGTTTTCTCCTCTCAAGGCACTGAGGTGGATCTTAAGTGAACAACAACAAAAAATATTTTTAATGGGAAAACAGCAAGTGTATCATTTTGAAGACATATAGTTAATTATGTCTATCTTAAAGGTCATGAAAAGGTACAAAAAGCTGTAGAAAATATAAGAAACTGGGCTGATTTTACTTTCTAATATTCATGAAAAAATTTAAAAACCTTAAAATGGTAAACCTCAAAGAATGAATAATCTATTAGATGGTAACAAAACCAGCAAAGTTCAAAGAGTAAGTAATTAATTTTATCACAGTAAGGTTTTGAAATCACTGAAAATAAAATAATTATGAATTTACATACCAAAATGATGCTTCTAACTTTTAATTTTTAACTGCTGGCAACTAACAGTGGTGTTTGCCCACCTCCATTTAGGCATGGAGATTCTTGTCTCTTCCATCTAAAACTCCACATATTTCAGACCCAAGATCTTACAGGATAGAAAACTAAAATGGAGTTTGATGCTTATGGATTTTTTCAGTTCTTCCAAAGGAACAGAAATACGTTCCTCCGTCCGTGAGAAAACTAGATTGGGAGCTAGGAAACTTAAATCCCACACAAAATGAACATGGAACCTTAAGTTCCTTAACATCTCTGTTATTCTTTGCTCTTGCAAAATAGCTGCAAGGATTCTTATTCCTATCTGATGAATGAAAGTACATGCAAATGGCATATGCTTGACTCTGCCCTGTCTTTACCCCCACCGTTGGTGCTCCAACTCCACACCTTTATAATCCAGTGGAGAACTTTGGGCCCAATGCCACAGGTTCTCAAAAGCAGCTAAGCACCAGTCATTTTCACGGAAATGAGAAGATTCTGGATAAGCAGATGACATACCTTCTGCTCAGACCCACTGGACCCCTCTTCTTCGCGGAAGTTGAGCCGTGGCTTGCCGTCTGCAGGGGAAGCCCTACTCATTTTCTTCATGCTGACAGGCACACAGGGTTTAGGCTCTCCTATGACAAGCTTGCTGGTTTCCTCCAGAGACTTCTGGTACGCTGCTAGTGCTGATGCTGGGTCCTCAGCACGACCAGATCCGTGTGTTTTGGGTTTCAGCGTTTCCCTACCACTCGGTTTCCCAATATCATTTTGGGATTCTGCAAAGTAAGATTTTGTCTTTGCATCTGAAGTGACTTCCGCGTGGCTTCCGTTGGCTTCAAATTTCCCAGGCTCTCCTTTGAGATATGAGGTAATGGAATCCCTGCATTGGTCAGGACTGCAAAAGATGAGACGCACACATTTACAAGGGCAACATACCACTGAAGGTAGGGGCCAGAAGCTGTAAAAGTTTACCAGCCATGCACGTAATGACTTCGGAAGGCATAAAATGGAAAGGCAGGAAATAGCTGGTCATTCGAGTTTCAACTGACAGGGATTAACATGGGTGAGGGATGCAGGAGCTATACAGACTATAGGCATCCCCCACGCCCCAACTCCTAAACTGGCTAGCTACATATGCTGCCATCTTTTCTTTAATCATAGTTTTGTAACTACTTGGATTCTACAACTTAAAAATGTATCCTAAGAGGTTTATAAACATACCTCAAGTTCTAAAGATATCCATCTACAAAGGGGAGGCTACATTTCCTGAGAGATACCACTAACAAGACATAAACATTCTAGCAAACGCGACCGTCCGTCCTTTGCCATCATGCTGGCTGTCCCCCCCAGCCCCCCACAAAGCACAGCCACTTACTTTCTCCTCTGCCGACCTCTTCCGCACGGTGACCAGAGTTTTGTGTCTACTAACTTCCCCTCTCTCAACTACTCAGTCTTTGTGGTCCAACGCTTTCTTTACAGGTGACTGCTCAGTGTTCCTAGTGTTGGCACAGCCTAGTTGTGTTCGTTTGCAGCTGGTGTATTCCTTTAAGTCTCCTGGGCATTATGTGTAAAAATCGGAAGGCAACAAACGGATGATATGTGAGAGTCAGAAGGCCACAGGATTGCCTGGCTCACTGTTTTGCCTTGACTTTTGCACATTTAAGTGGAAACCATCAGGAGGCTTCAAAAAGTTCATGGAAGCTTCCATTAGCTTGCATTTTCATAAACTTCGAAGTCCCATCATATTTGTGTTTTCCTTCTCTGACAGATTCTGCTGCTCCCAGGTTTGACACTGTATGTTGTATCAGTATATGCAGGATATGCATGTGTTAAAATAAAATTCTCATATCTGAACACTTTTTTTTTTTTAAGGCCAATAACCATTTTCAGTATGTGTAAGGCCAAAGGCCAAAAAGCCCTTTGGGCTGTGAAGATCCGATACCATAGACCTTTGTCATTTCTGTTTATATTTCCATTCCCTCGGTCAAACTGCTTGCCTAAATTTTTCTTCTCTACATATGCTCATACCTGAACTATAGTTAGTTACTGGTATTCTTCTACCTCTACAGACACAAGGTGACTCATTAGTATTATTTCTATATAATTCACTGGCAGAGCCTATGTAAACTAAGGACACACAGCCAGTTTCAAACAAACAAACACCTTTCCATATGCTTGCACTATTGAATTGTGTGATATGTGGTTAAAGTACAACTGTTATCTCCCTCTATCTACTGGTATGCGACTGTCAACATTGAAAGTGATACCACCCGTTTTCTTCTTGAGAATCCTTTCGATATGTTATGCATAGAATCTACTGGTCTTCTAATTGTTGAAAAGATTTTTCAACAATCTTAGTGAGCAAAGAGCTTATCAGTGATATCAGAATATTAAATGTGGTTATGAAGTAACTTCAGTCCCCTAGAATCCATCCTAAGACAGTAACAGTCCTTCCTGCTTCTTTTGCATGCAGTGTCTGCGTGAGTGCGACGGCTAATCAGGTAGGACAAAGGCCACAGGTTTGTGCAACATCATCACTAGTTGCCACTTTAGGCTAATATGCACATCAATGAAAATAATGTCCACTATTATGTAGGCCAGGCACATGGTAGGCATGCTTTGTTCCTTTTTCAAGCCACAAAACAGCTTCAGATAAGTAGCAGAATTTTATTCTAAAAGATAATTAAAGTGGTATTTTTAGATCTTAGATGTCTCATATTGAGGCTTTGAATGAGTTTCTAATGGGGGTGGTATTTAAACCAATGTCTTGGAGCTCCATATACTTTTATTTCTCTAGTGTGAGTCCTGTACCACATTATATAAGAAAAAAAAACCATTTTCATGGTCAGGAAATTATTTGGGCCATAGATACATGTTATCATGGTAATATTAATTGGTATAAATAACTAAATATCCCATCTGTTTCTAGTATGTAAAATATTAAGTGCTTTGTTCCTTTATATAACTGGAGTGTCGAGGACTTTTTCTCTTTTTTTGTGTGGCTTCCCTGTATTTTCTATATTAAAATGTTTCGGTTTTTTTAATGTGCAAAGGGGAGAAATACACCAACAACTTTATGGTGATCACTGCTCGCAGTGAAGCTGAGTTGATTTTTCATCTGTGTTTTTAAGTTCTTAAATCTTGTATGGCGCCTATCCATTCTCTGTCATCAGTGAATACAGAAATGCTTCTATTTCTAAGCAGACTTGGACTGCTATGTATTCAAGTACCTTGAATGAATGATCTAAAAAAGCATACGCATACTCAAAGAGAAAAGAGCAGCCTTCGGAAGAAAAGGAATACATCTTTAGCCAGTACATTAACTTTTTTTGTGCACCTGCAAGTTCTCAATAGGTTCAAAAATTACATTTGAATTGAAAGCAACTTTCTTTCTCCAGGTTAGCATAATACATGTTCAAAGCAACAAGAGTAATTTGGAAAAGGGAAGTATCACTTAAAAAGGGAATCTCTTTAAAACCAACTGTTAACATGCAAACCTGTGTTTGACTTTGCTGTTTCTTAAGCAGCCTCCTACCTGTCCTCCAGTTGATCTAGTAAGCCACCAGCTATTCTTCGGGCGTGAGCAGGGGACTCCAAGTTCCCACTGGATGTCTCATGCTGCCAACCTGTAATTGAAGACATTTCCCGTTCTGCTTGCTGAACACGTTTCAGAATAGCCTGTACTTTTTCTTCTGTCATCTCCTCAGACATAACTCCTTCTTCAAGTTGAATGTCTTCAAATAGACATTTGAATTTCTCTTCCGTCATCTCCTCATCAGGACCAGATTTCTCTTTCTCTTGCTGCTCATAGCTGACGTCTACTTTTCTAGTCTGTTTCAGTGCCTCTGGGGGCTTCACATCTTTTGGGACCCCGGCCACGCTTCCAAGGTATGGAGGATACTCACTCAGATACACATCCTCCAATTGGCTCTCACCTAGCCCCATCGCTCCAGGCATTTCTGTTAAAGGTCCTGAATCTTCCAGTTTGCTGTCTTCTAAGGAAGTGTCTTCGGCAGTTACAACCGGAGGTCCATCTGCTGAAGGCTGTATGCTTCCCTGGGAAGGCACTAGCCCATCACTCAGTCTACTGGGGGTTCTAAAGGGAGAGTCTAGACTAGACATATCACTAAAATAATCGTCTTGCTGGAAAGGGGTGGGTGGTGTGTAGTGTAACCCTGTGGGGGTTTCCAGTTCCGCTTGAAGGGAAGGATAACCTATGGAAGACAGTACATTTGGACTAACTGAAATGAAATAAAGTACATCAAACAAAACACATGGAATGACTTAAATTATAGCAAGTATGAAAATGTATGGTGAATTACAGATTAATGTTGATCGATTTATTGGCTTAGTTCAAGTAAATGAAATACAATGCAATAAAAAGCCTAGTGCAAACTACAATAAAATAAAATTCTAGTTAATATGTGATTGTTTTCACCAATTTTGTAATTTTAATAAAATGACTTATATAATTTATTCCAGTATAAAGTTAGTTGTCATCATATAAGATACACTGGTTACTGACCAAATTTATTAGTGTCCTACTTTTAGCATGCAATATCTATATTGTGGTAGAATGGACACAGAAAACCGTAGGAAACTAATTTTTAGAAATCATTCCTTATCACTTATTTTGGAAGCTGTACACATTAGCAATGCAACCCAACATGAATCCTTTTTTCACATGGAATTTATGGAAAAGAATTGTGAATTCAATCTTTGAAAGGAAATGATTCTTAGTTTGCAGACCAGTGGCCCTGAGTGAAAAATCTGAAAAACATGGCCAAGCAAAGTCTTCTCAAAGCTGAGAGGAAGCGAGCTCTCTGGGCCCGCAGGTGTTGTCATGGGACAGAGGTGACAGGGCTGCGGGTGGTGTGGAGGTCCTACTGGGGGAACCTGGTGCTAGAGTTTCAGGCAGAGCCACAAACCAAAGAAAACCAAAAACAAACAGATGATACACAACAGACAAGAGAAAAGCCACTGGCAAAGATCGCCCTAGCCATTCACAAAGAGGAAGTGAGACATGGAGGTCCCTTGCCAGCTAGACAATGGGGAAGGAGGGAGCAGAGTCCTCGCTATAAACCTTGCTTCGGGGGCCGGGGCCGGGGGTGGAGGGGAGTGTTCTTCTGCTTCAGCAGAGAGAAAATTCAGCAAAGATCTGGTCATGGTGAGGAACGGCACTTCCACACAATTCGAAGAGGAGAGACAGAAGAAAAAAAAAGGCAACGAAGCAAAATTGCTGAATTATTGATCAATTAAAATAAATGGCTAATTCTCCATCAACGAGAGACAAATAGCAAGTTGGCCTTTTTGCTGTAAACAAAAGGCAAGCGAACTTTCTCTGTTTATGATCAGCTGTAAACCAGTTGGTTAAAATGAGCTGAAGCTATACATCCACATGTGAAATATAGTTTACACACATAGTCTTAGGTCTCCCTAGAGCTTTGTGAGAGAAAATACACAGTGAGAGAAAAAATCATAACGATACTCCTATCTGAACAAGTTAAAATGAGACTACTTTTCTTAGAACATTTCCCTCCCAATAAAATCAATAAACTATGATTTAGATCTTTTTCCCTAAGAAAAACAATTCATAATTTGATATGACACTGGCCTATACTTATCTAGGGCAAAAGGAGGTTAGATAATGACCTCATATATCACACAAGATCGTAAAGTGAGCTCTTCCCCCCAAGACTGTAGTATTTATAAGCTTAACAAGCCACAATCAAAATTATTACTCATCATGTGTATATTATGTAGAAATCAGTAATGCTTTAATTTTTTTGCCACATAACAAATTAAAAGTTGCTGACTCTTATTAGTCTAACTTTGCCAGTTTAAAAAATGCAAAAGCCACCATATTTTAAAGACTTTGAAGACAAAAATCTCTCTGTTCCTCTTTCTGTACCCTCACCAGTCACACTTTTTATTCACAATTCGTTTTAGGAATAAATTCCCATTTTAGAAATTAAGATAAGTGCAACTTTTAAAAAAAGAAGATATTTGAAAAAGTCCCAGTTTACATAATGAAGGAAAGATGATATTATATAAATGAAAAATTAAGGTAAAGTGAGGGAGGAACTATTCAATGTTATTAATAGGTATACTCATTAAATTAGAAATTATGCTGCCTTTGAGAGAGCTAGCTAGATCAAGAAGGGCTTATTCCTAAAGGATAAAAGGCAGCATATGAAGTCAAAATCATGCTAGCTAACTAAAGCTCTGTTTGGATTGACACATTAGACTTTCCTCACTGTGGTACTTTGTTTCAGGACAGTAATGCACCCTTTTCCCTTGAGAATTTGTATACAATATCCTTGAACTTGATCCCAAAGAAGGCTCAGTAGTTTTTTTTAAGTTCATGTACAAGTAAAAAAAAAACAGACAAAATGAATATAGTCTCTTTGGGTCATAAAAATATCTGAAATACCAACTGTTTCAAATAACATATCTTCATATATTATCTACTAGACACTTACTAACTTAGCTCTGATATCAGACAAATTGATTTGCACTTTACCAATGGTCTTTGAGTCCATTTAGATCAGAGCAACCCTATAGAGGGTTTCTGAGGTTTTGCAAATCTTTACAGGAGCAGACAAACTCATCTTTCTCCCATGGAGTCACTTTGACCCTCCAACCTTGGCAGTTAGTCCAATGTTGACCCAACAGTGCCACTTATCCAACCATACTTTCAAATTTTACGAAATTACGTGTGAACATTGAATTGAATTACCATCAACAGAGTCATGGAAAACATTGTTGTCATCTGCAAAACTTCTGGTGCCGGAAATGTTTCCATAATCAAATATTGGGCCTTCTAGTAGCGTCACTATATCTATTCGATTAATTTTTGTCAAGACTGAAGTTAGGGCATCAGCTGAAAAGGAGAAAAAAAAGAGAACGGAAGTCCTAATTATTTCTTAAAATAAATCATTTTCTTCCAGAAAACACACTCTCCACACAGAGGCATGCTTTTTGTGACTCTCCTAGCACTTAGCTTCTTGATATTCCAATTCTGCAGTATCACTGTCTAGTGATCTCAGAATGTCCCCTGCTATAGAGAAGACATGTGTAGTCTTAGAATCGCTCTGTGAAGCTGCAAGCAATGATATTGGTGTTCACTGCCACTCTAACAACCTGACAGAGAGTTTCCGAGGCTGTGAATCTCCATGGGAGCAGAGAGCCTCACCTTTCTTCTCCGGAGTGGCTGGTGGTTTTGAATCGCCAATCTGTGGTTCGGATTCCAACACTTCCCCTACAGTGCCACCAAACTCCTTGTAACACAGCATATGAGCCTCAAAATAACTAGATTTCTATCAGCTTCAAGGAGATCTACTAAATTTTAAACAAGTTTCATGCCTTTTAAAATGCCCAGATAGGTTACCCTCAAATTCAATGCCTAACATTTTAATGATTTATTAAGGTCAACCTATCACAGGCAAACCCATAATATATTATCCCACACTGTTACAGGTTCACATTGGCTATAAAGTAGCACACCAACTGTGCCCCAACAAAACTATGCCAAACTGTATTAGAGAATTTCTGCTACCAGAAACCTCACTCACTGCCATTGATACCATGAGGACTCACAGCGACCCTACAGGACGGAGTAGAACTGCCTTTGTGGGTTTCTGAGACTGTAACCCTTGGTGGGAGTACAAAGCCTCATCTTTCTTCTGAAGAGCAGCTGGTGGTTTCGAACTGCTGTCTTCGTGGTTAGCATCCCAGCCCTATGCCACCAAGCCAAATAAAGTCATGTGATCGCCTAACTTGATCCTACCCTTCCCTTTCTACTTCCCTGCCCATCTATCTCTGCCCAAACAGTGACTTCGGGGGTTTTATGACAACCTTATGATTTAAAAACTGGAATGGTTGGTTTGAGATGACCACTGAGCTATGGGAAAACAACAAAGCACCCCTACTGCTTGCTTTCTAACAAGTTTCCAAAAGGCAAACGTTTTGAAAATTAGCATTCAATTAAACAAATGCAACCTAAAACGGCTTGCCATTACTCGAGGGTGGTTCAGGTCTATTTTTCTCTAGGAAAAGCAACATATAATTCAGAGCAGTATTTCAATAAATAATCCATCAGTAGACTTATCAAAAATTCTGGGTAGACTTAGTTTTGAAAGTTAAGGTAATATAATTTCAGCATACTTGTAGCGTTTTTTCCATCTCTGGTAACCCATTTTTTTAATAACATGAAGCTTTGAGAAATTAAAGAATTAGGATTTTCCACACGTATTTGATTGATTTCATCCACTGAGAAATTCAGTTCCCTGGCCAGTTCTGTGAAAAAAAGAAGAAGAGTCACTAAGGTTTCCTGTTCTGTTTCTGTCGTATTTCACAAAAGTAACGCTGCGTTGACATAAACACACGAAGGGCGTGTCTAGCAAAGCCCAAGGTCAGCCGTGGGCATCCCTGCTTGAGAGCCTTGACTTGACAGGCAGGCTTCACTTTCTTGTGAGAATGAAAGAGGATGCTGCTTGGTTCTTTTGATTCAGCGCCTTGAGCAAACTGCACAGAAGGTAGGCCAGGGGTGTGGTTAGTAAAGAAGGCGCACAAAAGAGAAGGGGTTCATCCTACGCTGTGTCTGGAAGTACACCTGTTACTCCCAGGACGTTCTACCCCATGTCCCTTCGAGTCTCATGAACGGCTCTTAGGAGGTAAAGGACGGCTCCACGTTTGATCGTGATATATACTGTTGCCATTTTGTGAAAAATTCAATACCTACATCCACATGCAAACACGATACATTCAACCTTGAAAGTATCTTTAGAAAGATGCAGGTATTAGAGGCTCCCGGGAGAGGGGGAAACAGACTATAGCTTTTCGTGCTATGATTTTTGTGTGTGTGTGTATACTTTGATAAAGAACAGCATCAGGCGTTTGTTACCTTAAATGACTGCATAACGTAAAATGGAAAAAGAATTGGTTAAGCTTCTATCCCACTTAAGTAAATTAGAAATATATCAAGCAATGGGGTAAAATACATTAATAAATTCAAGAAAAACTTTTATCCTTTGAGTCAAAGAATCTATCCTTGGGTTATACCTACGGATTTATATACATCAATTATCATTTCAGATTTGCATTACCGAAAAATTGAAAAATAAATCCAAATGTTGAACAAAAGATGAATTAAATCATGTAAAGCAGTAACTTGAAAACTTTTTGATTATGACCTACAGTTAGAAATGCATTTTTTCCACAGTGATTCTGTAACACACCAGGTATATATGGAGCAAGATTTCATTCATAGACATTTTCTTTGCTATTCTCCTTTATTTAAAAGCAAAAGGTCGTGGATTGATTTCATCACTCTGTAATGCACTGTGATCTGGATCATTGTAAAGTATGTCTAGTAGCTGTGTTATTTATTAAAGATGAGAACACACAATATGAGTTTTATTTAAAAAGTATGTAATCATACTGGCACGAAGCAGTCAATGACCAGAGAGGTTTGCGGGGCCTGCCCCTATCCCAGATAAGTCAGCTCCTCCCTCCCTAGAAGAATTTACTGCAGAGGACAGCAATGAAGATATTGCCCAGGGAGAGTGACGGCTTACTGAGACCTCACGGGAGCAAACTACGAGGAAAAGAGACAGAGAGAAAGAGTGGAAAGCATCCTGGCCCAGCAAGCTTCAAGGATGACATTCCTGCTCAGAGGAGCCAATACACAGGGAGGACCATAGGGTCGGCCTCACCATGAGACATGGGGTCCTCTTACCCACAGCACTACGGGAGGTAGCACAGCAGACACTGTAGGAATTGTGCCTGGTCTGACACCCGTGTCCCCTCCCCAAACACACACACACCAGGGCGTAACACGAAGAGACTGCAACAGAGCAGCAAGGGGAGCAAAGCCACAAAGTCCAGAAGGAATTCTGAAGAAAGACTTCAGATTCAGAGGGCAAGGCTTGGGACTGCATCAGACCCGATCGGAAAACATTCATAAGGGTCAGCAGACAGACATGGAATATTCATGGGTTATTTTTTCTTTTATGTCTATCTATATAAGTTAGGCAGAATAAGCAATCTCAAGTAGAAAACAATGGGACCAACAGCTGGGAGGTGGGGGTGGGGGGAGACAGAGGAGAGGGGGACCCAACAAACCCAGGGACAAGGGAACAACAACTGATCTAAAATCGATGGTGAGGGTATAGAAGGCCTGGTGGGTTCGATCAAGTGCAATGTAGCCGAGAGGAAGCACAGAGATCAGAATGCGGGTCAAACATGATAGTGGGACAGGAGGAAAGTGAAAGGAAGTAGAGGAAAGAACCAGGAGGCAAAAGACATTTATAGAGGTCTAAATATAGTCACACACATATGTAAATATATTAATATATAATGATAGGGTTTATGTACATATATAGGTTAAGTATTAAGGTACCAAATGGACATTGGGCCTCTACTCAAGTCCTCTCAACTCAAGAACACTTTGTTCTAGTAATATGGCATTTTGTGATGCTCACCTTCCTGACATGACTGTTGAAGACAAAATGGATGCATAAGCTAATGTGAAGAAAGCCGATGGTATCCGGCTATTACAAGATATAGCATCTGGGTTCTTAAAGCCTGGGTTCTTAAAGTTAAACAAGCAACCATATAACAGGGAAGCAACAAAGCCCACATGGAAGAAGCACACCAATCCGTGTGATCGTGAGGTATAAATGGGATCAGGCATCAGAAGACCCAAAACAAACAACAATTTCAATGAGAATGAGAGGGGTTGGAATGGAGACCCAAACCCCATCTGTAGACAACTGGACATCCTCTCACAGAAGGGTCATAAGGAAGGGTTGAGCCAGCCAGGGTTCAGGGTAGCACTGATGAACACACAACATTCCTCTAATTCTTTAATGCTTCCTCCCCACCCCCTACTGCCCCATTATCATGACCCCAGATCTACCTTACAAATCTAGATTAAACTGGAGCATGTACAATGGTACAGATAAGAGCTCTCAACACACAGAGTCCAGGACAGACAAATGCCTCAAGACCAATAATGAGAGTAGTGATACCATGAGAGCATAGGGAAGGAAGGGGGAGATGGGGGAATCAATCGCAATGATTGACGTACAAGCCCCCTCCCCCAGGGGGACGAACAACAGAAACATGGCTGAAAGGAGACAGTGAACAGTATAAAATATGAAAATAGTTGATAAATTATCAAGGGTTCACAAGGGTGAATGGGTAGGGGGGAAAGAGAAGCTGATACCAAGGGTTCAAGTAGAAAAAAAAAGTTTTGGCAACAATGGCAACATATGTACAAATGTGCTTGATACAATTGATGTATGGATTGTTGTAAGAGCCCCTAATAAAATGGTTTATTAAACTTTAAAAAATGCAATTATAAATTAAGCAGGAAATTATATCATATAGCTAAAAATAGGAAAGATTTTAATTAAAAAATTGTAATAACATATTTGCAGTAATGAATTGCTATTAACTCTCAGCTATCTGCAAAAGGTAGCTCAGATCACCTGTTTTGAAATTTGAGAACAAGTCTAGGTGGAAGGAGAAAGGAGGCTTTCACATGGAGCTGGGCCGGGGAGGGAGCATGGAGAGTACTGGGAACATTCAAAGGAAAACATTGAACTGAACGAGTTGCCCACTATCCAGTCTCATATTCTCCCTTTTGATGATGTTGATAAGTTTCCCCAATTATGGAATATAAGTTGCTGCTGTTACATAAAAGAAGTAGAGATGTGATATAAATGAACCTTTATTATTTTAGCTATTCTGTTTTTATGTCTGTCAAGCTTAAATTTTTAAATTAAAAACAAAATTTATTAGATTCTCGTGAGATAGGATTTTGGGGCTTCTTAACATAAAAACTAAACTAGAACTGACTCACTGGTAACAGAACCTCAATCTTAGATTTAATGAAGTGAAATCAAGCCACATCTTCATTTCCCACACACCAGTCATGTGTGAATGATCCCATTTACTTCACAGGAGAATGTAGCTGCTTTTGAACATTGAATTGCTTCCTTTGTGTGCTGTCTTATTTTAAATCAAAATTGAAGCTACTGTCACTAATATATATAAGTATTGCAATGATCCTGTTTTCTATTACAAAGTAGGTTCTTTGTTTACTTTTTTAAGTACAAGTAGTTCCCAGTTCATAGACATCCAACTTATGGACAATTCCTATGATGGGGCTTTAAAATGTTGGTGCATAAATGGAGAGGGAAAAGGAGATACAGGGAGACACATACAGGCTGCACAGGAAGGAGAGTGGGAGTCTGTGCACCAATCTACATGGGTTGGACAGAGAAGATTTATACATGCGTATAACCTTGGCTGCATATGTATGCATGAATGTGGTGGAGCATACGTGGGACAAAGATAAAACTCAGAACGAAATTTCAGATGACATCGTTTCCTTTCTGGAGGAAAGAGGAGTGATGGAAATCGAAGACCCCTGGAAACAATTCCTTCCATGGACTAATGAACATCAGTCCCCATGGCCTCGAGACCAGAAGAAGTAGCTGGTCCTGCTGACTGCTATCAACTGTCCTGTGTAGAGTGGAAGGAAAATGAAGAACAAAACTCAAAATAATAAACAAGACCAGGCTTCCTGGCGGAACCACTGACATTGTAGCTCAAACTCACCCTTTAGGTCAGGAAATGAACTCCCCCCTCTGTAGCTCCAGTTTCTAGCCAAACAATAAGCCTACAAAGGCCACAGTAGCACTAGTGAAATATGCACCCTTTAGATCCATGCACCAGAGCCAGTGGAGAAGGGTTGGGAGAGGAGGGAAGAATGGAAGTGGACAGAGGGAAGAAGTGGGATAAGTGATGTAATCAATAAGATGAAGCAAAATGTATATGAATTATTGAATGGAAAATTGATCTGCTCTAGAAACCTTTCCTCATTCACAATAAAAAGTTTTCTTAAAAAGGGATTCCGCCCCCCCACTTGTTGAAGCCCCCCCCTGGTACTTGCCCTTTAATTCAGCACTTTGAACCTTTTATCGGCTGCTAAATTGAAACAGGAACAGACCTGACTGAAGTGGGAAGCCCTGCAGAGGCATTAGGAGCCCTTTCAGGAGCCCAACAGGTGAGGTTAGATGATCGGAAGAACTGTGGGGAGCCATACAGTCAGAGTGACAGTAGCTGCCATCTGCGAGCAGAGCCCCCACCCTCTTTTAAGCTTTGCTTCGATACTCGATAAATTTGCCATCACTTTGAAGCAATTGAACCAACTCCTACTCCCCTACTGGCAACGCATTCTTCATCATCCTCATCTGTTGTCTGTGCAGCTTTAGGGTCACTGGAAAGGCTTGACTTTTTTCTTGCACTACAGGTTAAACGAGAACTTTATGAAGCCTCTGTTCCAGCTGATTTAGAAATTTAAAAAAAAATCATTTTATTGGGGGCTCATACAACTCATCACAATCCACACATACATCCATTGTGTAAAGCACATTTGTACATGCGATGCCCTCGTCATTAGAAACTCTTAAAGGCAGCGAGGAATGGATCTTATTTGGACCCTAGGAGTTGTCTTGAAATCTTGAAGCATAGAAGTGAGTCCCTTTAAAGAATACTACCAGATAAAGAAATAATAATTTATAAATTATCAAGAGTTTGTGAGGGAGGAAGGGGGCAAAATGAGGAGCTGATACCAAGGGCTCAAGTAGAAAGAAAATGGTTTGAACATGATGATGGCAACAAATGTACAAGTGTGCTTGACACAATGGATGGATGGATGGATTGTGATAAGAGTTGTATGAGCCCCCAGTAAAATGATTTAAGAAAAGAAATAGATGGTAGACATGTGTATATCACAAAAATTTGTGAAGGCAAGTCACAAATGACTAAAATTTGTAAAGCCTACCCCACTGCCAACAAGCTGATTCTAACCCACAGCGACCTTCTGTAGGCCTCCAGAGGCTGTTAGTATCTGCCGGAGCAGAGACAGGGACCCTCCACTAGCTGACAGGGAGCAGCAGGTGGGTGTGAACCCCCAGCCTTGCAGTTAGTAGTCCAGAGCTTATCTGATAGCACAGCCTAGGGTTAAGCGAACTGTTCCCTCAGAGAGCTGCTTGAAGTCAGTTGCATTCTTTCAAAGTAACCGACTTCAGCTTTGTTTTCCCTAATGCCTCAACATAAAGTGTTTTGTTATTAAGCAATGCGTGATTCCATATTAGCAGAAGTGACATGGTGAAGACAGTGCTTAACTAGAAGGTGACAGGAGATTGTAAATCCTATTCTCTAGTGTGTAGATATATGAAAAAGCTTCGGGAATACTCAGTCTACAAGGTACCATTACTCATTTTGTCTGGAGAGAAAGAATTATGGGTGATAAAAACATGTTAATTAACTTGCTGGTTTCCTTTCCTTTGTTTTTAAAAAAATAATGAATGGCCTTCACATAAAACACAGCACAAAAAAATAAAATCAAACCAAGCATTACGTTGTATTCATTTCATTCAGGAGTATACACACTTACCTGTCCAACTAAGTCCCAGATGATCGGCTACTATCGCCATCCTGATATCCGTCCGTTCACAAGGACTCTGTGGACCTACGATTCACAATGTCTTAGTTAAAACAAACATCAAGAAAGACAGGATCCTGGAAAATTGCTTTTAGCAGTACTTAGATTTTACAGAGACTAATGCTGACACTGTACATTTAAATGTGTCCTAATCGCCTACATGAACACTTCTCTTTTCACATGGCTCACTTATTTTTCACCCACATCAGGCCAAATGTAAGACTACATGGATGCTCAATGTAATGGAATTAAACATGCTGACAAAGCTAGCTGCTTCACAACGGTTACAGAGCTGTGTTCTGAAAACACCACGATGAGGTGTGCTTGTCAACAGCTGTGCTTATCACGTCGACAGAATATATCTGGACGCACAGTTGTAAAAAGTTGCTTCTCTCGAATGACACCGACATCCTCAGCATGCTTCCCTCGCTGGCTACAGTGCAGATGGATTCAAAGGAAGAGAGAGGGCTCGATAGAACAGCACAGACAGATGACAATGACAGAATGAGAAACTACAGGGAAGTCACTCCACAGGCAATCACAACAGTGCATGCACTAGGATCTACGAGTTGGGAAGTGTTTACAGACGAGGCTTGTTCCCCAGGAGGTGAGCAAAGAGCGCTCAGGAAACCTGACTGCCTTCATCCTCACCAGTCCTCCTACTGCTCCTTCTCTCACTGCCGGCTTTGTCACGCTTTGATTTTAAAGGTGCCGCCTCTGGTTTCTTATCTCTAGCAGACTTCGTGGGAACTGAAGGCGGGCCACCCCGGGAGGTCTCGGACAACGACGTGTTTCTGGAGGTACTGTCTTCCTCATCGGACAACTCGGATTGCATCTTTTTGTCTTCTTCAGAGAGGCGGTCCACAAGCTTTAAGGTCTCACCACTAATTCCCTTAAAATATTCAATGGAATGTTTACAGACTTCCTTCAGCTGACTTTTCCTAACTTTGGCTGTGGTGCTGGTGGTGGTGGTGGTGGTGGTGGTGGTGGATCTGGTGCTAGTGGCACAGGTTGATCTTACCTTGACTGGCAACTTGGATGGGAGCTGTTTGGCTTTGCCTCTCTCTGACTGACCTGGCTTTTGTGTGGCGCATGCGTCTCTAACAGGAGCTGGGTGCTCCTTGTGTGTGTGTTTGACTGGAATTCTGGACTTGACATCTACCCATGGAGAAGAAGTAAGGGCTCTGGTTTTCTCAGATGAACTAGCCTGCTTCGCTCTGCTCACTTTCATGTTTGGCATATGATTTGGTGGGATGAGATCTTTGGGTGAAGTGGCCTTTATGGGAAGTTTGGATTTTCGCCTAATCCCTACCGATTCTCTCGTCTTTTGTTGCTCTCCGGGAACTTTCTGCTGCTCTCTTAGACCGTGTCCTGGCAAGAGCCCTGCCCTTTTTCCTGATGAACTTTTCACGGGGTTAGCTTTGTCTGTGGTACAAGGAGGGGGGGCAGAATGTTCTGTCAGAGCTACATTGCTGGTCATGGGATCTGTCTGTATAGTGGAAGGATCCAAATTGTTGTTGTTATTAAAATTATCTTTTTGAAAATCGTGTTTTTCTTGAGGGCTACTGCCCAACTGGCTACTGGCTGCCCTCGAGAGCATTCCAGTTTCATTCTCTAGTCCCTGACAACTGGTCACCACAGCGTCTAGCTTATCTGTCATTTCTCCGGGGCTTTCTTTCTTCATGGTCATGGTGGAAGCGGAAATTCCCATTTTTATAGGCGTGCGCAACTTGGGGTCAACTTTAGTGGAATTAGTGGCTGCGGCTGCTTTCTCCAGGGAACCACTACTGGGTGCCCCTTCCTGACACTCTCCGCTGACTGCGACTCTGGGGTTCGGCTCCACTGCAGGTGCCTCGACAGTTTTCTCTAGATTGGTTTCTACAGTGGTGTCCCCTGACTGTGGCTGTAGGGGGTCAGTGACCACACTTTTATCCCCTTCCCCCTGGTCCCCTGACTTCCCTTCAGAAGTATGCTCACCAATCTGGAAAAATTGGAGCCTCTCTTCAACAAAGTCCCTCTTGCTCATGTCAATTGCACCACTGCGAGTCATCTCAAACATTTTTCCTTCATGAAATGGGAAGGGGTTAGGCTCACTAGTAGGGGTACTTTCATCGGTGGGTGTTCTGGCTGGTGTTGTATCGGGGGTTGTTGCTGGCGACCGGTCTTCCACCGCCAGACCGAATGGCTTAGTGTCATCTTCCCGCGATTTACTGTCGAAAACTTCATCGTCCCCTCGGTTATTAGACCAAGGGTCGAAATCTAGGCCTTTGGTCGCTACGGTTTTAAAAGGAGTGGCAAATTCTTCATCTACTTTGTAACTGAAATAAGTATCAGGAAACACGGATCTGTCGGGGTGTCTGCCTTCTAGGGTGAAAAACTGGGCCCCGGACTTCTGATCAGTCACATCGGGCGTCTTTTCGGACGAAGAACTTTTGGAAGGCGGCTTGTCCTCCTCTGGCCCCACCTTCCCCTCTTCCTCAATAACTTCAAGTTTGCTCTGGCTAAAACAGCGGTCGGCTGGCTTCAGAATGCCCTCTGTGTTCCAGACATCTCTCTTGATTTCCACAGCGGGGTTGGGGAGTTTCGAATCACTCTCCGTCAACCCATCGTCTTCATCCTGCAGGTCATAGCCGTCCAAAGAGTCGATCTCAGTGGCATCTGTGTCATGGGAAAACTCAGCTGTGGTCGCGATGGAACACTCCGTGATGGACTGGTCATTGTTGCCATTCTGGGCAGCTTCGTTCTGAGGGGACTCAAGGCCAAGGCCAAATTCGCCGTCCTTTCCAGTTCCATTTGTTTCCAGTTCGTTGGGGCTGGAAACCTTTTCAGCGGACGCTATGGCTGTTGTTGTGTCTTTTTGTTCCTCATCGACTTCCTTCAGTTTGAAGGTGTATTTCTTAACGGGGGCGGGCTGGTAGATGGATTCATCGTCGCTGGAATCACTGATGTCCGCCCCGGGAGGCACTGGCGAAGGGGGCTGCACTCGGATGACTGGCTCTGCCAGCTGGTACTTATCATGCTCCTCTTGCAAACTGACTTCAATCAGGTCCCCCTCTCTTTCAGGAAGATACTGCTTCCCCGACTCCATCTGGTCCGCATCCAGCGGCGGTGGAGGGGGAAATTCAATGTAGGCAACCCTGTTACATTTCGGTCTTTGGTTGGAGTCTTTGCTCACACCCTTCGGCATCACGTGCTCAGTGGCTGTCTCCTCCACTGCCGTCTGCTTCAAGGAGGCCGACTTGACCTGTTCCTCCTCCTCAGAGTCCTCCGAAACCTCGGGAATCGGGCTGGGCTTGCCTGGTATATACGCTGTGAGCGAGTCTGGCGTCTTAGATGTGAACTCGTAACTCACTTCTTCTGAACTGGGGGTTTCTGGGGTTAATGGGCTCTTCCCAGAGCTGTCTAGAAAAGACACTTGCTCTAGAGTGTCGTCCTCTGGGCTACCTTGGGGAGAAGGAGGTGGCTTTTGCTGTCTAGTGGTATAAAAGGTTCCCCTGGTCTCTTGTACTGTTTTACACTCCTGACTGAGGATTCTTTTTGCACCTCCTTGTTGTATCTCCTTCTCATATTGCTTGCCCACTTGTACAAAACTGACATACACCGGTAAAGACTTGATCTCTTTCCCTCCTTCTGTCTGGACAAGGGGTGCCACTTTCCCCAATCCATCAGTGGCACTATGGTCGCACACATCACTAGAGGGAGATTCCTTCCCTGGGCTAACCTCTAAGGAATCGGGCGATCTGGTGGGGGAGGTTTCAGTTGCATCGAGAGGAGGGCACAAGCCTACATAGCTTTGGTTTTTGGAAAACTTGCTGATTTCTGAATAGGTAACTCTTTCATCTTCTATGGAATTAAAGTGCTGTATCTCAACTGTCTCTTTACTCATACTTGAAGGGGGTAACGTTTGCGGCAGTTCGTGTTTGGGAAGTGTCGACTGCTCGCCCACACCGTCAGGACCCTGAGACGACGCCACCCTCCTCTCCTCGGCCACTCTGACTGGGATGTGCGACACTGCCGTGCTCTCACTTCTCCTGGAGGGCTGGCCGGGAGCGCCGCCGGGACGCTCCCCGTCCTTCACAACATAGTCCCTATATAAGACCTTTTTGGAGGGCGATTTTACAGGCATGTCCTTCATTTCTGAGAGAGCGCCATTAGTTAACAATGTGTGTTCTCTCTCAGTCACAGACATAAATTCACTCTTTCGATCAACACTTTTAGTCTCGGGGTGACCCACGTGATTCTCTCTCACATCATGAACAAGCACATGCGAAAGTTTTTCTTTCTGTGACTTATTGTTAGTAGCTCCAGAACTTTCCCATGTTCTAAAAACCTTTTTGTCCCATGGTCCCTTGGTTGCTACCTCTGAGGTTACATGACATGCCAAGTCTTTAGCCTGTTGCTCAGAAAAAGAGTCAGGCACTGCTTTAGTGGACATTTCAGTTCTCGGTTTTGTCACATCATCAGAGCCAGCATCGTTTACAACAACCGCATGGCTTTGGCCCGGGTCATCTTTCGGTTTCAATCCCATAACATTTCTTTGCACCGACACGCTTTCCTCGGAGAGATCTATGGCCCTCTGCTGCTTCTCTCTAGCAGACGCCGGGAAGACGGGTAGCTTGCTCTCCTGTATTTTCTTGACAGGGATTCGGGATTGGCCATCTGGCCTTCTGTCTTCTGGAGACATGTCCTTATTCTTTGCGTGTAAGCCTTGTTCAAATTTTAACCTAATGGAACTGAGCTTGGATTGTTTGAGCTGAAACCCAGACTGGGGCCCATCTGGTGATCTGCTGGGGGAGACACTTCCTCTGACTTCCCCCGGGGGCTTGCCGTCCTCCGTTTGCTGGGAAAGGACCCTCTTCTCCGGGCTGCTGGGCAGACTAGCCGCTTTCCTCTCCTCGGCTTGCACGTCACGGCCCTGCTGCCTCGCCCTGACCCACTCGTCGTTGGAGGCCAGCAGCTCCATCAGCAGTGCTTTCTCAGGGCTGCTGCGGCTCGAGCTTTGAGCAGCGTGTTCTTGGCCGTTTCGAAGGCGTGGCTTTTTCTCTGGGGACTGCAGTTCATCGTTCAACTTTTCCGTTTTGTCACGAAAAAACTGTGACACTTCAGTCAGTTTTTCTTCCGCCTCCTTCACGGTCCTGTCCACCCTGTCTTCATATAGCAACTTCTCTCTACCTCTGTCTAATCTGTCCTCAGTGAAGCGCATCCACATGGCATGTTTTGGACTACTAACATCGCCAGAGTAGTGCAACACTGCCACTTTATCAAAAGGCTCATCTTTGGACACTTTACCTACACCATTTTCAGACACATCTTTATAGATTTTGGAGAGCATTTCTTTTTGGGGGGCAGTGGCTACTTTTTCTCTGGCCCGCTTATCAGAGCCCTGTACCTCTGAGCTAGGGGGTCCTGCACGGTCAGTAACGGATTCCTCAGTATCAGACTGAGACACATCTAGCTTTTCTGACAGGAGCATTTTCTCAGCAAACCTGTACGACTCCCCTCTTAGTTCTGACAGCTCATCGTCATGGTATTCTACGGAGTGCTGACTCAGAAGCCTCAAGGTTTTGTAAGCGTCATCAGCTGTGAGCTGGGCAGAACTCGGGCGAGTGTCGTCTTCTTGGGACACGGGAGTGTTGACCCTGGAAGACTCCAGGTAAGAAGGCAAGGACTCTTCCGCAGTCAGTTCTTCTTCTTCTGGCTGACCCTGCTCCTCTGCACAAGGAAACGCATCGTGTTTTTCTGGCAGAAAATCTGTTAGGTTAATATCGCCCCGGGATAAGTCTTTCTGATAGACATACATTTCCTTCTCGGGATGTTTTTTGGTCTCTCTAATAATGACTTCAGTGGGCTCAGCCTGGTTACCTTTTTCGATGTGGACTTCTATTATACGCTCCAGTTTGGGTTTCATTGGGTGGTCCTTCTCTGCGTGCTGGGGTGAGGGGTCAGCAGCAGACTTGTGAATGTCTGGAGACACTGCAGACTTATGCTCAAACAGACCTGCCAGCTCTTTGGAAGGGTCCCGCCCGGACTGGAAAGCCTTCATGATGTCATGCACTGACATGGTCTCTTCAATTCGTTCCGAGGCCCCTTCGCTGCCCGGTGGAGAGTGGTAAACCATCCTGGTAGTGGTGGTGATGTGAGTCTCTTCTTTCACGCGCATGCCTTTGCTCAACACCCGGTTGTGGTCTTCCTCTTCACTGCTGGCTTTCAGTTGAAAGGCTTTAACTTTTTCTTTAATACTAGTCGTGGCGGGCTTTGGCTCCAGTTCTGTAAAAGCCGCTGGCGCTTTGGGTGAGCCGGGCTCATCTGGTTGGGACGGGGGCACGTCCCCGGCCGAGGGCTCGTAGCTCCTGATGACGTGGACCACCTCCGTCCTCGTCTCTGTAATGACAGGAGGGATGGGAACCTCGTGGAAAAGGGGTTTAGGGCCAGTGCTTTCAGCACTCTGGGGGGCTGACGGCGTTTTCTCACTTCTCGTCTCGAAGCCGCTGTCAGACAAGGGACTCTTATCCTGGTCGTGTTGAGAAAAGTCGTCCGGCGACTCTAAAATCGTGTCTGTTCCAAAAAAGGAATCGGCCATTTTGCACAATTCTTTCTCGGAGGTGGAAGGCCTCATGGAGGCAGGAGGCATCTTGAGTTTGTGCTCCTGCAGCGCGATGGCTGGTTTCAAAATCCGTTTCTGCCTCTCCTCACCCTCCTTTTTGGCATCCTCCAACTTATACTTGAAGTTGGTCAGGGCGCCACTCCCAATATCATTGGTTAGGTAATCGATCACTTTGGTCAAGTTGTAATCCTTCTCCGAGGTGGCTTTGGCCCTGACCTGCACCCTTTCTGGCAGAGAGGGGGAACGGCACGCAGCCACCTGCCTCGCTTCCTTAATCTCCTCGGGACTGAATTCGGTCCAGTCGTCTTCTGGGGAATGGCCTTGGTCACTCTTAGGCGATCTGGGTGCCGCTTTACTCTCCACACACACATCCTTTTTGAGAATCTCACTAACTTTCACTAAGTCTTCCTTTACTTTCTCGACGATTTTGAAAGGCTCCTCATCGTCGATCCTCCCTTCTTTGGGGGGTTCGGTCTGGAATGGCTTCTCTTCAGGCACGTCCGTCTGGAGAATGGCTGTCATCCGAATGAGGTCCTCTTTCATCTCGGCCACATCTTTGAGGATCTCCTGACTGGAAGATAACGACGAGGGTGTTGACAGCTTAAGGGCAGAGGGCGCGAGGAACAGGGACGACTTCCCTGGCGATGAAGTTCGATGGAAAGGGGGCTGAGACCGCGTCTCCGTCGCCAGTGGTTTCATGGGTGACAGCAAGGCTGCTGTTGCTTTTGTAAGGGAACTCGAGTCTGGGAGCTTTTTTAACGCTGGTTCTGGCAAAACATTGACTACAGAGTATACTGGCACGGTTATTACGGAGGACGTGACGGATGAGGTAGTTGCAGCGATGGACGACCCCAGGGACGCATAGAGTGCACTTGCGGAGGGAGTTCGAAGGGGCGGGAAGGCTGCCGGAGCTGCCGGGCTGTAGGGCCGGAGACCCGGGGAAAGCGCCGAAAAGACCTTCTCCGCCGGGGCCGCGGCCGCGCTGGCCGCAGATGGCTTTCCGTGCAGGGGGGCAGTGGCTTTGCATCCATTGATGAGAGCGGACGAGGACGGGTACTTCAGAGGGGAGACAGAGCCGTTGACGAGCGGCACCTCGGCAAGCCCCGGCATCGGCCGCACAGGGGACGAGAGCGGGGACGCCAGGGTCACCTTAGCTGAGGACGCGATGTCCAGCAGCGCCGACTGAGCTGCAGCCCCCCCTGACTTGAGCGGGGACGACAGGAGCGGCGCTGCGGATGGGACGTTGGGCTTCAAGGGCAAGCTGGAGGCATACACCGTACTGTTTGATTTGGGGGATGCAGGGGGGGTCATCGTGATTGAAGACCGCTCCAAAAGGGACCCTGCCGTCGTCCCCGGAGAGGGGCGAGGGGAAAAGGCGGCGCTGGCCGCCAGCCCTTTCAGGGGCGGCGCCTCTGCGACTGCGGGCGGTCGAACCAGGGTACCGGCGGACACGTGCAGCGTGTACGGAGACGGTGACCCCACTGTTTTTATCGGGGACGCAATTGTCCGGAAGGCTCTAATTGGAGACGCCACGTCACTAATGGATCTAACGGAAGAGGTGGTGGAGGCGCCTAGCGTGGATTTGATTGGAGACGGCGTCGAAACCGACCATATGGATTTTAAGGGCGAGGCTGACGGAGTGTTGGAGGAGGAGCTGGACAGGGAGGTGAAGCCGGACTTGACCGGCCCGGGCGCTGTCGTCGGAGCCGCAGTCCAGGGCGGGGATGGTCTCGTCGGAAAGAAGGGCTTGTATGAGTAAGTGGTGGGGAGGGATCTTGTGGCTCCTGCACTCCGTTCAACTGTTTCTTAAGTTTGAAAATGAAACCAAACACAAAAATCAACAAAAATGGTTGAGAAACAGAGAGACCAGAGAAAAAAAATAGGTCAGTAAACTTTGAAATATTACAAAAGCAAGTACAACTGTCTGCATGATTTAGAATGGAAGAGCCAAAAGGAACAATCACGTAAAACGAGGGTGGGGGCTAGGGGTGGGGAACAAAAATCTCAGACATAACTCATCCAAAGAAATAAATTTTTAAAAGACAAAGAAATTAAAATAACAGCAAGGTGAAATGAAAGACAGAAAAAGCACATCGCAACCAAATAGGCCAACAATGAAAAATAGAAAACATGAGGAAAGACTTAACGATGAGAAAAACAACCACAATGGGAAACTAGTCTCTTACTTCCTATTGACTTTCTTATGTGCTGGTTTAGAAAGATCAGTAGTCGTTCTGGTTTTGTTTTTGCCTGTGTCAGGTACATGCTTATTTTGTGCAACCAATAGGACTCTCGTTTTCGTGATTTCTAATGTTCCCTTTCCTTGAGTTTTGGTGATAAAAATTGCACCTACAGAGAACCACATCGATGGATGTACTATATAGGAACTCTCTGAAACTCGTTTAGAAAACCACTCAAGCCTATGTCATGCAGAATCCAAGATAACTCTAAGTGACAGGCAACTGGTGTGCAAACCGTGAAGCCACTGGATTTAAAATCTGTTATTTTCCATGCACAACTCGGTAATGCTTCACACCCATAAAAAGCCAATAAGAGCAAGAAATTCTTTGAGTCAGAATTGTAAAAGAAAAAAAAAATGAACAAAACACACACACAAAGAAAAGGAATGTTTGCATTTATGTTTTTCATGCAGTATATTCCTTTTGGTGAGGGGGAAAACTTAATATGAAATGATTTAAAAATGCATGTCCGTACACGCACACACAAGAAAACAAAATCAGGAAATATGGTGTATGGTTACTGAAAGCAAGCAAAGCAACCTAAAACATGTATCATGCGCGTTACATCATGGCAAACAAGCCAATAACAATACAATTTGTAGGCCATATTATGCGCAATATTTAAACTTTTAAAAACACTTTCACAAGAGCATGTCGAAAGAAGAGTACACTTTTTCCATGAGATATGAAGTCTTGGTACCTTTTGAGATTTTAGGATCATATTTAATAATGCACTTAAAAAATTAATCTGCGACAAAATATACCCAGGTCTGTAGCTATCACCAATTTTGGCTAGAAGCACATAGTTTATCTTAGATGTTTTTTCAATAATCCATTATTCTACTTTTAATTCTCAAAAGGTATCATGGGGAAAATCTAAAAAAGCATAGTCATATTTGTCATACCCATATTTAAACACCTAGAGTGGGATACAGTACACATATGTATATATATTTATCAATTCCAATTCTAATGTCTTCCCAGGAATTTCTGTGGGACTCCTGAATACCACTGAACACTGGAGCAGCCACGAGGTCTTACTACCACTGGCAGCATTCTTCTGGCAATGGGGTAAGCACGCTCACTGGAGAAGAACAAACACGCGCTTAGGCCTCTCTACGTCTACAACACTAGCCAACAAACCGAGCAGGGCCCAGGCTTGTGGAACACCCGCCATGGGCTAAGGCTCTACGCCAAAGCTCAGTACAGTCTCGCTTGCAGAAAGCACTGGTTCAGAACAACATGAAATGCGAGGGGGACATGAGCCTGTGGCATCTTTATCCTAGTCTTCAATGGGTGCGCGGGCCAGTGCTTGGAGTAGCGGCTACTCCCACCAGCGTGAAGATGTTCATTCCTAGTGTACATTTAAATTCCAATATTCAGAACATACCCTTTCTAGGCTAAAACATTCTAGTGACAAGCAGAAGAACTAAGGAAAAACACATCCGTTCATTATCCCGCCTAGTCGCAATTCTCAATAGCACAGAGCTTCATTCTTCTGGAAATGCCACACTGCAAAGGGAAGAGCTACCGGGTCTTTGGATTCAGCCAAGAGTCTCATGAGAGTTTATTTCTGTAACTACTGGAGCTGGCAAAGCATCTGCCTTATAGTGCCAAGGAAGTTTATGGTGTTCTCATTCGCTGCACAGAGCAGCCAGCCATATTTTATATCCTTTGGTGGGGCATATTTTGTGATTCCTTTATTTTTCTAAAAGCAGTTTTACGGGGACATAATCCACCTTGTGATTCTTTTACAACCTAGGGGCTTTGTGGTTGCCGGGCATTGAAGTACCCTGCAACTCCTTTTCCCAAGGGGCCTGGGGGAGAGAAAGGTGCTAGACTCAGGGGCCTTGCCTTCTCCTTAGTCTTTCTCCTTGTTTGTGTCTTTGCTGGTAGGGGTGCTGTCAAGTTGGTTATGATGCACAGCACCTTCCTATGACAGTATGCAACTGTCCCCACGCTTTTCTACGCCGTCATCCTCAAGGAGAGGAAAATGCCAGGTCCCTTCTCTGGTGGAATGGCTGAGAAATCGGAACCACTGACTGTCTGGACAGCCAAGCAGTTCACTCTTGCGTTCCAGTCCTCGGTTCTCTCCCCATTATGCTCCCTTTCATGAAGCAGGAGACTTCTTCCTTCCATCAGAAGTCAAGGAAAGCCAGCTGCCTGCCTTAACTGAAGTGAACAAAGAAGCAGCGATACTTTCCTAAGGATTTAGAACACCCCTGACCTCCTAACTCGGCCCTCCCTCAAGCACAGGGACACCCGAAGGACCAGATCAGAAGGAGATCACCTGCGCAGGGAGGATTCTGACCCAAGGTGGCTGGTCTATGAAGGCTTTTCCAGAGCTCAGATGGACAGGGAAGGTCTTAGCTCTAGGGCAAAATAATGTTCCAAAAAAAAACTGTCTGCCTGGTACATTGTGTCAAACAAGGTCGTCGAGGCTTACATGGGCACACATTGCAGCATGCCGCAATCGGAGTTCATTCCAGCCCTTACACTTCCGGAGAACTGAGCTATTTCTCTAGAGAGCTATCTCGACTGAGGCCTAGAGGGGACATTCACGAGGGAATGCTGCCGTTCTTCCAGGGCTCCCCGGTTGGTATCTTACTGTAAAAGCTTCTCTAGTAGCAACGAGCTAAACTCCCAAAGATTAGGCTAAGATCCTCGGAGCGAGCAGGAAATGTGTTTTCTGCTACTTATTTTATACGCTACCTCGAGCCATAGTAACACGAAATCAGGACAGGAGGGAAAACCCAGTTACAGTTCGTTCTTACTAGCAAATCCCACTTAAAGTCAAGTAACTGTGAGTCCGTGAGAACCCGCTAGGTGTGAATTGTTAATTTTACAAATGCTTTTGTGTAAAGGCTACTCAAAGTGAAGCTCTGGTGGGTAGGGTGGTCCACTGCCCTGTACCAGTGAAACCCAGGGCTGCTCACGGGACTCTTCCTTCCCTTGGACACAAGATGCGATCTTGAGGGAGGCAGTGATCCCTAGAATTGCTATTTATGGAGGAAGAAGGGGAGAGGGAGCACAATGTGAATGAACAAATCTTTCCCTTGGCACTCGCCAGGTAGTTAACAATGAACCGAAACAATCACTGAGGGCAGCAAAGTCCAGCGATGACCTGCTTTGGGGTGGATGCTGCAGTGAAGGAGAAAGCAAGGGGGTGGGGTGGGGAAGTCATTGGGAAGCAAAAGCGGGAATGAAAGGAAGAGCGAGAAAAAGAGTGAAGGAAAGGGGCGGCGGGGGAGAGAAACAGGAAAGTGGGAAACATTGAAAGGGGACCTCGAGAAGGCAGGAGAATAAAATTCCTGCAGAGTGGGAAGAAAAAGGAGTCAGGACTTGGGAAAAACGACCTAACCATATTAAGAAAAATGAGATGACAGCTAAAACAACTACCACCCTTTCCAGGACCACCAGATTCAGGGGCAATATTTATTTCCCCTTCAGAGCATCAATCAAAAGTACAGTGGTACTTGTCTTCCTAGCGCATAGTAAAAGTGAAACTAAATCAAACCATACACGATACTCATCATAACATAACTAGTGACTTTTTAAAAACCGTGTTTAAAGCTACTACCTAAGGGTGCTGACACTTGATATCTTCAACTATGTGCAAGACATTGCTTAGATTTCAGGACAGATGCTTCTTGTAAGGCAATTTTGGGGGTCACTGGGTTTCCAAATGGCCCCAAGTTCAGTGTGTATAGAAAAAATGTCTCTTCTTATCAAAGTCGACACCGATGTTTAGTAAATGTGTTAGCAAACTCACTCATTCCAGGTTCACTCAAGTAGCTGTAGCGCTTACGTAACGCTAAAGAAGCAAAACTCTGTCGTCTATCGTTTTTCTCCGTCTGAAAAAGAAAAAGAAAACAACCGTGTTTCTAACTCCCTGGAGACACTCTCGGAACACTGAGACGTTTTTGTAGGTTGGCATGTTGATATCTCATCTGTCTTCTATGTTTCTTACATATTTTCCTCACGGAAACATTGAGTAACATCCTACCTGGCTTCTCCATATCCCCCC